TTTTTATATAAAAATGCTACAAAGTCCGCTAGCCAATAACCGAAATGGGAGTGGTATAAAAAAAAAAGGATAAAAAATAAATATTAAATACGCTGCACTCGAATACCCATGGGAAATTAACATAAATTTGCATACGTTTTATCAACAACCGAAAAGTTCACTTTCGAGCTGAACAATGTGCTGGCTGAGCTGCAGGGCCAGCGGGCAAAGCCAAAGAGCCTGCAAATGCTAGGTAGCCTTATCTAAACGGCTGATACACATCGCTTGAATATGTAACAAGTTAAAGGCAAACAGGCGACACACACACACACACACACACGCCCACACAGGGTCGGGGCATGTAAAACTGTGCCAGACCCGGGCGATATGTCCTGGCCATATATGCACTGTAGCCCAGATAGATGCCAGCAAGGAAACAAAACAGCTTGCAAAAAACGGGGCAAAGAAAAGAGTTGTCTGGGCGGTAATGAACAACTAGAAGATACTCTAGACTCGGTGAGCAATGAACAAAGAAAGCTTTAAAGCTGATATATTTAAGGCCTAAGCCTAATATAACAGATATCATACTTGTTAGGGAAAATACCATACCACACGCCTAACATACCAGAAATATGTAATTAAAATACTTAAAATACTTAGGGAAAATACTAAGCATCTCTCAGAACTTCAAAACATATATTCTTCTGCGAATTAGTGAAATATACTCAAAATATAATATTATTCTATTAGTATTAAATTCATCTGCAACTTTCATAAATGACATATAAACTCAGACGCCTTTTTTTTACCTGTTACATAGATTCATATAAGAACAATCTACCCTCTTAGCCGCACACTGAGCATATTAACAACTGGGCAAGTGCGCCATTTGCATAACAAATACAGTCAGTAACTGAATCAACCTACATATACACGTACACACACGCATACACATGCACATACACACACACATTTACGTACACCAACACATACTAGAGATCCATCGAGTACCGTGTCCTTGCAGCCATTAAAAATGCCAACATTCGTCAGCATATGTGCACGAGGGACGTTCAGAGGGTCTCGAACGGTGCAGCGAGCGGGTTAAAGGCCACGAGGAATCGTTCAAATAAAAATGCAATAAAACGAAATAGTTTGGGCAAAACAGGTTTTATTTTAATTTAATATACAAATGGCTTAATTTAAACGAAATTCAATCGAGAACGTTCTTAGCCTACGAATTAATAAATGCGAATGAGATATTGCCTTGAATGTCATTAAATGTTGCATTTAATAATTAAGAACTAGAAATTATCAGTGATCAAAGTTTGATATTGATATGAAGAAACAAATAAGTAATCCTCTTTTATTATCCTTACAGATTTAGTTCACGGAGCTTTAACCATGTTGTTAACTATAGTTAATTAATTCGCTTATTTTTTAAGAAAAGAGTGTCTAGACTCGGGCGTTGGTTACTGCAACTAAGGGCTGCAACTAAGGGCTTGGCGTTGAATATCGCTCAGGCTACCGAGTATTATATATATTATAAAATCATATACATAGGTATAAAAAAAAAAATCGGTAGTTTTACAAATCGGTGCGTTCTCTGGTTAGAAAATCATCTGAATTTCATTACATGCATATTAATCTCATTTTTATACCCTGAACCCATTGAAAATGGGAAATCAGGGTATAATGGTTTTGTGAAAAAGTATGTAACGGGCAGAAGGAGGCGTGGCAGACCCCACAAAGTATATATATTCTTGATCAGCGTGACGAGCTGAGTCGATATAGCCCTGTCCGTCTGTCCGTCCGTCCGTCCGTCCGTCCGTCCGTCCGTCCGTCCGTCCGTCCGTCCGTATGAGTGCGTCGATCTCAGAAGTTATAAGAGCTAGAGAGCTGAAATTTGGCATGCATACTCGTGTGTACCATACGCAGTACGAGTTTGCTTTATTTTTTCGATAAATCGTCCGATAACTTTTTTATCGAGAATAATCGAAAAATTGATTTTGTTTTTTTAGCCTAATTTGAACATTTTTAGACCTGGAGTCTTCAAATTTGTGTTGTATATAAAAGGCATTTAATATGTAAAATATATTTTTTAAGCATTTATAATTGTACTAGAAATATAAATACAAATTTTATCAAATTATGACAGGCTAATGGATTCCATTTTGCAAAGCAAGTGTCTCCCTCTCCCTCTCCCTCTCTCTCTCTCTCTCTCTCTCTCTCTCTCCACCTCTATCTCTGCTTCTGTTAATTGAAGCACGTGTGGGCTGGATGCGACTTGTCTGATGAAACCGAAGTGTTATATCCTTACATTTGCCATAGAAATGCCTTCAAGTGCCTTGGATTATTTATTAGCAATTTGTAACAGTTTCTCGGTTTTACCTGTGCTTGCAGCCAAACGGCCACCCGTCGAGGAGACTGCATCGTTTCTGCAGAGCCTAATCGCCTCTCATGGACCTAATTACCTGGAAAAACTCTTTGGCAGCAAGGCACGTGACGCGCTCTCCCCGTTGGGCGGTGTGGAGAAGGTGGCCATCGCCTTGAGCGAGTCGCAAACTATTGAGGACTTTGGAGCCGCATTACATCTAATGAGGTAAGGTCAGCGTGTGTGGGCCAAACTGAAGGCCCGAAGGGTTCTGTATATACGCTCAGCACTAAAGCCTTTTGTTATCTCGGATCCTTTGCTCCATGAGGGAGGGTTTTAATTTAGTGCCTCGAGTAATGTATTCTCCCCAAAAATAATATAAATAATGTAAGCTCTTAAATAAACTTAACATACCCGAAAACCATTTTTAGTCTGGCCACATGCCCCACCCCCTCCCCTCCTTCCCTTTCACTGTGTGTGCGTGTGCTCGGCCCCTGCTCGCTCGCACTGGCCAAGCGCTCTGCTCAGCATCCAGCAGCGACCTTGGCGAGTTTCTTGAATTATGCGTTGCGCCCTCCACCACAAACAAGTTATAAAATTTGAAAATATGACATACGTACCCTTTCATGTGTTTGCTTTGTGTCTGTGGCAGCGTCTGCTCTTTATTTGAATATATTTTTGGCTTTTCTTTCTCCGGTGCTTGGCGTAGTTGACAGTTTGCAAACTAGTTTCACGGCTGACAACCCCAATGTAGTCCTTTGTCCATACAAATGCTTAAGCAGGGCGCCAGCCAAGGGGTTGAAATGTGGTTCTGGAACAAAGGACGTTTATAAAGCCAAATAAACTACTTTTTGCTCAAGAATAGTTTTAGCCAAGCAGCTTGATATGCATTTTTATCTGCCATAAATTATTTTTCGATTTCCATTTGGAAGCTATATTCAGAAAATCCCAATTTATGTTACATGATATGTAATATGAATTTATATTAAATACTTAATAAATATTTGATAATTCCCGACTCATACAGCTTTGCTATAAATACTCGTACGAGTTCTTTCACGTCGTTAAAATAATTCAAATTAAAAGGAAAGCCAAGCCGAACAAAGCTGAAATTGCGACAAAGAGCAAACAGACTCTTCATAAGCGAAAATTTTCATTAAATTAGAACAATAAAAGCGAACCACAAAACGGCGGCAATAGTGATGGGATTTCGTCCTGACTGTCCTGACTGACTGTCGCACGTAGGCCCAATTAACCGGAGTGTACGTAATTATGAGCCACGGCTAGACACATAAGACTCACAACTCGACGGCCGCACAGCCTGATAAATTAGCAAAAACCCCTCTTAGGGCCTCGTTTGCCTCGCACTGCCGCTGCGGTTGTTCGGGCTCTCGCTGGGGCATTTTGGGAGCCACTTACAAAATTTCATCAACGCAATTAATCGTTCAAGCGAAAGTTTGAAGTGCCTGCGAGAGTACTTTAACGGGCGTACCACAGAACTTCAATGGCTGCAGGGAAAGTTTATTATGTAACGGAATAGGCAAGCCAACGTTTTCCGTTATCGTTTGGTATCGATGGCAAAAAAATAAAAAATACCAAGAACTATCGATAAATCATGTATGTACTATACATATATTTGGTTTCCTCCCAAGCAAAACTTTTTATTATTATGGCTTCAGTAAGAGTTACTAAATTATTTTGCACTTAGTGGTTATCTATGATTCATAAAAGCTAGAGCTGGATCAAGCTTCCAATAAGTTTTCAGCCGTAAGAAAGAAATCGAAAAATAAAATAAATCGAAAAGGACCCCTAAAGACGTATAGGAAGAAAAACATTATTTTCAGTATATTTAGGGTATTTCTAGGTCTGGCATACCCCATATTGTGGAATCACTCATGCTTGTTTTAATTTGTGACGCAGTGGTACACAATGTGCTGTGGTTGCTCTGTCGCTCGTGTTTTAATGCTTTTGCTGATAATGAAGTTTTGTCATTTTAAAAAACAACAACAATAACAACGACGTCACCTGAAAGAATTAATTTAGGAAAGCGTTGTATAAGCCTGACCACAGCGGACAATAGAGCGATAGCTCGTCTACTATATATTTTAATTGAAATTGCCCGAAAGGAAATATATTTAAGCTTTAGAAAAAGAAACTCTATTGTTAAATCTTACTATTTACAAGAAAATAAATAAAGTTTTCGTAATTTCTTTCCCCTTTTTGCAGATCTGACCTGGAGCACCTGCGTTCCGTTTTTATGGCCGTGGAGAATGGAGATCTTGGCATGTTGAAATCGCTTGGCATTAAGGACTCCGAGTTGGGCGATGTAAAGTTCTTCTTGGAGAAATTGGTTAATACCGGTTTCCTTGACTGAGTAGCGCCGGATCCGGCTTCTGGATTTTATTATGCACACGCACAGCCCATTAACCCTAATTTCTATTCATACTTGGGCACGCCCTACGACAATTACAATTATTAAAGGGGCGTTGCAGCCAACAAATACACACACACTCACACACGCATACACTCTTAAACACATTCATATTCATAACCATAAATATCAAATATTTTCTCAAAAACCTTTCGCAGTTATTTTGATTTTCCAAAGTTTATTTCTGTGTTTTCTGCTATCCCTAACCGTCCAAATATTTATTTGCCTACAATTTTAAAACAATTTTTTTTTTTAATGACAAAAAAAAACAACAAAAATTACAAAAAAAAAGTGAAAAATCTCACAAAACTAAAAAAAAAAGTTCGCTACACTGCAAAAAAAATATATATTGATCAAAGACAAGGTTATATCGAAACGAGGATAAATCGGCTTCTCTTTATTAAACTTTCTACAAATTCCTCTTCTGCGCTCTTTCAATCGGTCTGCAATCGTTCTCTCTTAGTTTCGTTTGTGTTCAGAAACTTTTTCGAATTTTTGAGAAAATTAACGCGCATCCTTCAGTAAATAAAAAGATAAATAGAAAAAAAAAAAAAAAACATCAAAGAAATTCACGAAAAATGCAAAATGTGGAAGCAGGATCGTTCGGCAAAAGAAAACAGAGAAAAAAACAAAACAAACTAAAAAATGTTATAAAAAAAAAAATAAATAATTAAAAAACAAAAAAGCTACTTAAATATTTATAATGTGAAATCTTTTTCTTATATGTGTATTATTACGACTTTATCAATGTATTCTCGTAAGTGTTTGAAGATGCCTCACAGCAAAACAAATCTAGTTTCAATACCACGAAAAGACATGCACTCAAGGTATTCACTGTAGCAGATGCTCTGCACAACTTGTACGTTTCAGCAATAAAGCAACCGAGGCTATCAGTACAGAACCTTCCAAGAAATATGCTTAGTACCTAATTGCAAAAGTACTTTTAACTTTTTGAAAATTCTTTTCTATATACACTCACACACTAACGTCTATGTAGATTTGGTATTTCTATTTATATATGTATACAACTATATACATATATATATAATGGGACATATCGTCTAGAGCTTAGAGTGGAACCCCAAGCAAGCCCTGCAGCTATTGTTGTTGAATTGAAGCTCAGTAGTCAAGCACTCCATGTTTCAATTTGCAACTATACGAAATACATATCTACATATATATAATCAATTTATACTTATAATATACAACAACAACTATATACACATATATTAAGATTGAAAAATGTCGAAAATGTCGGGCTACTGTACACAATTCAATACCTGGAAATACAATTGTCGAGTTGCATAATTTACGAGTAGTAAATGCACGGATATGCGAAGAGAAGATCGGACAAAATGATGGTTAAAATAATACAAAAATTAACCCTTTTATTGCATATATATCTTAGAATTCAATGTAAGTCTATTCAACTTTTTAAAATACATTTCAAAAATTAAATTAAATTACGAAAAAAAAATTTAGAAAAATAGTAACCAAAATGATGCTCTTGAGGTATAAACTTTTAGTAGCCAGTTTTGTTGCTGAAACTTAACTGACCTGATGAAATTGCTATATATATATATTTATGGTATATCTGAGTTATATATATAGTAAAAATAGCAAACAAAATTGGCTACTAAAACGTTTTGGCTTTGTAAAGAATTGAACAAATCTTAAGGAAAATGAAATCCACCCACACATACACACACTCACAAATTATGTTCAGATGATTATGAAAGAGCACGGAATTGTTAAAACCGAAGGTAACTAAGTACATTCCATAAGAAAAGTAAGCGCTATGAGGCATTCACAATTAACAGAATGTAACGAACCCAACGTTCACATACCGAAAAGCAAACCGAAAACTAAAGCTAAAAAAAAAATATATTCACAAAAAAAAAAAATTAAAATAAAATATTAATGGAGTTATAAGTACCTTGAATTAGCTGGTAGAAACTTAACCAAAACAAAGTATTGTTGCTAGAAAAAGAAAAATAAAAAATGAAAAAGGAAAAGAAACCAACTTTTAATTTGCAACTTTATTTTAAATACTAACTGTCTATTTAAATGTTAAAAATAAAATACTTAAGTGTAAACAAAATATAAAAATTTGTTTGAACAACATAACAAATTAAGAGTGGTATTGAATAAAAATAATAAACAAAGAGATCCATTGAACTATATATATAAATATACAAA